CAAAAGAAATTCAACCATTTTCTAACATTTCAAAAATTAATATATTATCATATTCATATTATATAGAGAGAGTGTCACACAAAGATAAAATGTATTTTTTAAATATTTCAGGGTCTGTAGAATTATGAAAAGTAAATGCTAAATAGACTCATGGTAGGTATCACATTATTTTTCTCTTATCATACATTCAGTTTTTAGTGTTGTACTGTGTGGCACCATTTCAATTCATCCAGCAGAGTGTATTAAAATAAAAGAGACTATAGAGTTACAAAGATTCATTATTCACAGATCGCAGAAGAAAGAGTGGGAGATACAAGAAGTAAGGGAAAGGGCATCCTCTGCACCATCTCACTGCAAACAGGAGATAGAGCACAAGACAGCAAGCATACATTTTATATATTTTTTGATATATTTTTATCAAAGGAACATTGGTTTATAGCACTGTGTGAAGCTCAGGTATGCATTACTCATATATTTCAACATCAGTGTACATATCATGTTCACCACCAAAAGTCTAGTTTCCATCTACCACTGTACGGTTGACCTTCTTTACCCAATACCCAACCACCTACCCCTCTAGGAACCACCAATTTGTTCTTTGTAATTAGAGTTTGTTTTTGATTTCTTTTCTTTGCTTTCTTGCATTCTTTATAGTCCACATACGAGTGAAATCATATGGTATTTATCTTTCTCTGTCTGACTTATTTTACAAATTATTATCCTTTCCAGGTCCATCCATGTTGTCACTATCAGCAAAATTTCAGCTTTAAAAAAAAATAGCTGAGTAGTATTCCATTGTGCATATGTACTCTGCCTTCTTTATCCATGAATGGACATTTAGGTTATTTCTATATCTTGGCTATTGTGAATAATGCTGCAATGAATAGCAAGGTGCCTATATATGTTCAAATTAGTATATGCAGCAGAGATTACTAATTTTTTGAGGACTTAACTTTAACTTGTTGCTTTGATAGTAGCCCTGGGGAAAACAAAATGGGAACTTATGACAAACTTCCTAAAGACTAAATTCCATCCATACTCTGGGTATGAATAGCATTATTGTACTATAAGATGCTGACTAGGCAACAACCCAGAAAAAGCAAAGCTGATTTGCTCAAAAATTATTTTTTTCAAAAGTTGTTTTCCTCATCACACACAGATACAAGACACAATCTAAGGGCTTTGTTAAATACGTATTTAATGAATGTATCTTAGTTTGGCTCTTATATGTTCAACAAACTCTGCTAGTTAGACATTATCTCATGCATTTTTTGACATATTACCTAAAGGGCTATTCAAAATCTTGAATGCTGGGCTCTTTAACTTATGGCCCACGTACAAAACTGTATTTCAAAGCAACTACATTTCTTTTATTCCTATTTGTATTATCTTACACATGTTATGCATCACCCTAAGAGGAGTTTATAGATAGAGCCAGGCTGGAAGAAACTAGTGTCACAATTTGCTTAATCACTATTTTCAAACTTAGAAACTGTAAGTCTCCAAATATAATGAAAAATTTGGCAGAAATAATAATATGACTGTTGTGATCCATTAATTACAAAGCAAAATTCATAGACCAGAAGGTAAATCTGACTTTTAAAGATATAACTCTTAACAGAATTTAATACTCAATATTCTAGTCATTTACTCTATTTCCAGTCATATAAAAGATGAAAATTCCTTATAAAAAAGAATATTATGTCCTGCAGAGAAAATCCAATATAGTAGGTAATTAATATTCTGTCTTGGTTGTCTCCTTTACTTAGTGTATAAAACTGGTTTAAAATTTGATTTCCTCTTGCAATTCAATTTAGTAAAGAACTGATATGATGAGTGACAATGATTTGAACAAATATTTCACTAACTCAATTTTATCTTAAGAAATAACTGGAAAAATACAGGGCAGGAAGTTTTCACAAAAATTATCTGTCAGAGGCCATAAATCTCTGTGAGTTAGGAATTTCCTTAAAGTGACCAGGTCTCAGAATTTATTTGATAGACACAAAGTAGTAACACATATGGGCAGTAAAAATATATTTAGAATTTCATCTATTTTACCCTTAGCCTAATTTCAACCAATTCCTTGATCTTGTCTGATTACTATAAATTATGCGCATAGGAAACGAAATAATATTATTCAGTTTACTCTCTAATTAAAATTAATCATTTAAATAATCAGTTTAAGTATTATGTTAATATATTAAGTTATCTGTGTGCCTTAAATTGAGATTCTCTACTATTACCAAACAAATTCATTTCAGCTTGTCCACTAACTTTGCTGTTCTGTTCGTGAAGGTTAACAGTGTGTAGTTAGTTAATAGTATTGCTGCACTATTAACTTCTTTGTTTGACAAATGTACTGTGGTTATAGAAGATGTTATCATCAAGGGAAGCTCAATGTCTTATTTTGTGTCTTATTTTTAAAACTTTTCTCAAGACCTAAAAAATTACAAAATATTTTAAAATAAAATTAGTTTTACATGCCTTTAGAATGTAACTATGTATTCATTCTTCTATACATATGTATATACATACAGCATAGGGACAACAAAATGAAGAAGAGAATCCAGATCAAAGTGAACAGGTAAAGAGTAAAGAAATCACAGAAACCAAGCCAAACACTACACAAAAGCTACAGAACAAGCAGCTCTCTAAGTTTAGAAAAGTTTTCCTGGCACCCAAAGAAAGGAAAAATCAACTTGGCCTAAGACAAGTAAAAATCTGCTTGTCATTCCTTAGATATAGGTAATAGGTACAGACAAGGCCATCTGTAAGGTAACAGAAAAGATTTCTATCAAGAATATGCTATAGTGTCACAAAAACTCCCACTTATTACTGCTTTTTTTTATTACAGAGTATCCTTTTCTCTAAAATTATAGATTGTCAAAAAAATTGGTCTAGGAAATTCTTAAAACTGAAATTGAAATATTCCTCTTTTGACTAGAATTCTTAAGTCACTTTGACAGAGTCATAGCCTCTGCTTCCAAATAGGGGCAGAACTTCAGAGAAGGGATTCATGGACACATTCCATATCTATTTTAACTTTGCAGTTTTGTAATATTAAGTGCACATCTCAAAAGTGCTAAATACCACCACAGCAGAGACATTTAATACACAATGCAAGCCAAATGCATATAATCACATATGAATTTATTGGGGACATTCACATTTCAACAATATAAGCATACAGTTCAATTAGCAGTAAAAGTGGGGAGGGATATAAACCTTTGGGCAAGGGTTGGGAGACTGTGGACCTAAAGCCAATGGGGCCTGGTTCTGGAGAATTCCTGGCAGTTGTCCATCTGTGGAATGGTCATGGAATCCATAAGCATCTCAAGTTGACTTAATTCAGTACACATATCACTTTTTCAGATGCATATTATCAGTACCACCTACTAATTTTATTTTAGACAAGGTTTGTGCCCAGCTAGGTTTTTTGTTTTTTTTTTTTAAGATTTATTTATTTATACAAGCACTGGGTACAGTCAGAAGCGCGGGAGGGTGAGAGAATTCACCAGAGCCAGAGGGGAGAGCAGAGCAGGCAGACTAAGTACACTGCTGAGGGGAGCAGCGGGTGCGACAGGCAAGGTCTGTGTGCCATGTGGGATCCTCATGATGGCTCGGAATCCAACGGGTGCTTCAGAGGCTGCGGACATCGCAGCCCAGCACTCAACTGCTGCGCCACCAGGGGAGGCCCCCAGCCAGGTTTTTATTTTTCCCTTCCTTTGACATGTCTTATAATCAACATCATCTTAAAAAGTGACTGCTTTTTAATCAATAACTTAAGTAGCTCTATCTCAATTGTGCCCATCTCTTAATCAGTTAGCGTCATTACAATTTCAGTACATATAACAAGTTTTCACGAAAACAGTGCTCTGGGTCCATCCTTATGGTCTAGACTTAACAGTAACCTCTTCTCATAGTATTGCTTTCTTGAGACTTTCAAAACACTACTTCACATTTTAATTCCCCCAAACTCTGTATTTCCTGAAATTGCAATATAAACTCGTCTTTTCTTTTGTTTGATGAGGCACTCCATGGACCTCCTGGAATGTAAATTCTTTCTTTGTAATAAATCAATGGAGGAGTTAGGCGAAACGTCCTTAGACATGTGTTATATATAACAGCAATTAGCTCTGTGACCTTGACCAAGTCACTTACACTGAAGTTGCTTCTAGTGCATAAAGTGGTCAAACTAGATAACCTGATGTGATTTATAGTTCTAAAAAAAGCACGTGACCACATGAAATCTGTCAGTGCCTGACATAGAGTAGACACCCCAATTTTTTAAACAATAAAACGTCTTAAAATGGGATCCCAGACTGGAAACCTGGGACTCTTCCCAAATATTGATTCTTTTATTTTTAAAATAAAGGCCTTTCTTTTTATTACAAAACTGAGGGATTTTGCCACGTAATGCCGTCATTTCTCTGGTCACTTGACTCCTTCGCGCTGGGCTGTAGAGGTACAGGTGACTCAGAGTGGAGCGTTTTGCTCCCGTCGACGTCGGCGGGAGGCGGGAGGCGGCCGCGCCGCACACGCTGCCCACCTGCGACAAAGTCCGCCCCGTGGCCACACCCTAACCAGTAACCCGGATGTGCCCCGGTGCAGACAGGAAGGCGCGGCGGGCTGCACGCTCCTCCGGCCCGCCCCCTCCGGTGACGTCACCGCCCCTTGACCCCCCCCCCCGCGGTCCCGCCCTCTCCTCTGCCTCCCGGTAGCCGGCGGCGGCGTCTCCGGCTACAATGGAGGGATCCCATTCGGTGACTGCCCCTCGCGGGGGCGAGGCCTCCTGCTCTTCCTGGGGGGCCGGCAGGTGAGAAGTCGAGTGTGGGCGCCAAGCAACGAGGAAGGCGGGCAGGAGCGGGGCGTCCGCTTTCTGCTTCTGTCCAGCGGGCGGGCAGGGATCCCGCGAGAGGCCGCGGGGCTGACCCGGGCGGGCCCCGGGAGGCCGGGGAGCGTGCGGGGTGGGTGTGGCGGGGGGGACCCGGGGCCTCTGCGGCTCCCCGGCTCTGCTAAGGAGAAATTCCGCCCTCGCCTCTTTCAGCTCTTTCTCAGTTCCGGTTGGGTTCTGCGGTCCTCCTTCCTCCCAGTCAAAAGATACGGGTGGAGAGTTGTGGCCTGGGACACCTGGTGTGAGCTTCCCCGACCCGGTCAGACACCTTCTTCCCTACCCCTCCTTGCTAAAATGAAAGCCGGGACCTCTACTGTGCGTGATCCTCCACTGAGCTCCTTTGAAAACTATTACCAGAGGGAACTTGGTAATGAGGAATCAGGACACCCGGAGGCCTCGGTTTTGCCTACACTTTTTAAAAAAACATAGCCAGGGGGAAAAAAGCATGAGTTATCTACCAATTTTTACTTTCCAGTTGGTGTTTAGGGTCTTCACGTCTTTTCTATTCCTACAAAATTAGGGATAGGGGGGATGTGTAGGTCCTGTTTCAGTCATTTCATAATTGATCAATCAGGTGGTCACATACAATACTAGCAGAACACACTGCCAGGACACACTACCTCAATACAATACTCCAAAGATAAAAGTTAATGAGTTATATGACATTTGACCTAATGTGATACTGTACCATAAACCTGTGGTGGTTTTATCTGCTTCAGATTGAACGGATACTTTTGGGACAACGGTAGTGCTTGCCTTTGCCAAAACTGGCAGATATGATGCAAATTCTGCTCCACCCATTATTTAAAGTATCATTGATTTACTTGTTGATCTTATAAAAATGATTCTTGAAACCTTCCAGTAGGGTGGAACTTTCTGAAAAGTAAGTGCTAGCCATGTCATTTAGTGATAGAGTTGGTTAGAATATAGCTTTTCTAATTACTTTTTTTTTAAAAAAAGGCATTACCCCTAGGCTGCTGCCTTCCTTGCAAACAGATAACAAATGAACGTGTAGTGGGGATAAGAAAACTAAGAAATTTTGCTTGTTTTCACATATTGTTACAATGCCAAAACAGGATATAGGTATGTGTTTATTAGATAAGTGATCTCTTAGACATGGCTGTTTTGTAGTTGCTTTCATAACTGTAGTCAGGAGTATTTTCTAGTAATTGTACATTTAATTAACTCAAAGCTGATACCATTTGATGATACCAATCAGTGTTTACCATGTCTAGGAAATTGAATTCCAAAACTGATTTTCATACTGTCACATTGCTTTTAGAAAATCATGTAAATGATAATTAGAGATTCCTAGAATCTAGAATGGATTATACTTTTGTTAAGATCATTTTGATCTTGGCTGTGACAGTGGCTCAAGTTCAAGTGCCCCAAACTGGTTCCCTCTGCCCATGAGCCATCTGTTTCCCAGTGTTTATCATTTTTCTTTGTATACCATGATATGAAAAAAAAAATGGGATGAGCTGATGTAAATCATACATCTCTGTAAGTATATCTTGTTTCAATAGTATGTCCATCTTTATTTTTTAAATTCATTCAAGAGGTAATTTTTGGTTGTATTATTTATGCCTACTATAAATGGCAGCATGGCATTGTGGCTAAGAACTCAGATTGCCTGGATTCAGAGCTTGACTCTGCTCTGACTTGTCAGATTATTTAAGTTAACCTTTCTTGGCCTTCGTTTTTTACTCTGTTTAGTGGCGATGCTAAAAGTGTCTACCTATCTCATAAGTTTGTTGTAAGGATTCTGAGTTATCCCATCTAAAACACTTAAGGCAATGTGTGCCATAGTGTTAATTGTTTTCATTACTAATTGTCAGATACTGCCAGATATGTGCATTACAGTAGTGAATTTTTTTAAGGATTTATTTATTTATGCATACAAGAACTGGGGTACAGGCCAGAGGTGGGGGGGTGATGAAAGGATTCACCAGAGACAGAGCGGGGAACAGAACAGGAGGAATGTCTGAAATACACTGCTGAGGGGAGCACCGGGCAAATCAGGAGAGGTCTGCTGAGCCATGTGGGTTTCTCCCTGGCCGGGGATCGAACTTGTGCTGCAGTGGCTGTGGTTAGCTTCATAGGTTGTGTCTTAAACCCTTGCGCCATCAGGGAGGCCCTACAGTAGTGAATTCGTAATGGAATTAATGGGTCATATATTCTATAGAAGAAGGCAGACAGTAAACAGTTAATGATTAGTGATTGAAGAAGAAAATACAGCAGGTTAATAAGTTAGGGATTGACATAGAGGAACCATTCCATTGATGGTGATCAGGAATGGTAATTTTTTGTGCAGCAACATGTTAAGAGAGACTTAAATCATGGGAGTCAGCTACTTAGTTATACAAAGGAAGAACATTCTAAGCAGAGAGAAGAGTGAGTATAAAAAACTTTGAAATGATAGCAAACTTATCTTTTTGAAAAGCAAACCAGTGTGAAAATTGTGAGCAAGAGGAAGAGAGGTGGGATTTAATATTGGAGAGGTAATTGGGAGTCAGCATGTGGACCCTTTTAAGCATGGTAAGGTGTTTGATTTTATTCTGAGAGTAAAGGGAATTCAGTGGAGTTAGGAATTCTAAGGGAGTTATGTCTGACTACATTTTAAAAGACTTAGGCTATTTAATAGAGAATAAACTGAAGGGGAAGGGCGAGAGTAGAAATAGGAAGCCTTGGAAGTATTTCAGATGAACTGTGATGGTTTGACCTGACATTTTACTAGTTGAAGTTATAAGAAGTGATCAGATTTGAGATATCTTGATGGTCTCACAGATGGAGAAAATTAGTTGACTGAATTTTGCAAGAAGACTCCCAGATTTTTGGCATGAGCAACTAAGTAAATAGTGCTACCAGAAGTGGAGTTGGGAAAGACTGGGTAAGATAGATTAAGCAAGGGAAATTTTATTTTGCACTTGTTATGTTTGTGCTACAAATTAGATACAGGAGAGAGATTGTTTTTGCAGATGTGTAAAAATCTGGCAGTCAGGTGTAAAATCAAACTTGGAGAAATAAGTTTAAATATCGTCACAGTATATGGTGATTTCTGTGGACAGAATGACTATCTAGGGAGAATGTTTATATTAGAGAAAATTTATGGGCAACTACAACAAAATTGCTAAAATATATGAGAATATATGAAACAATGATATAACAACACCTGACAATAAAATAGCTATCTATAATACATACAGAGTAGAGAGTCAGTGAATTTAATTTTGACCTATTTTTAAAATCTAAAAGTGGCAGATAATAAAACCTCTTTTCGTAACTGGTAAGTTTGATCCCATGTATAATTAAGTAGTACATTATAAAATGTGAATATCCAGTAACCAGGTTTGTCCTAATAAGTTATGTTTTATTTTTCAGTACAAATACAAATTTACCCATCATGTCAACAGAATCGGTGGAGATTGATGATGCTTTATACAGGTAAGAACTTATGGAAACTGAAACTTATTTCCCCCATTCATTGTTCTCAATTAATGGAGTGTTCTTTTTGAAGAAGACCTTTAATTATATCTATGCAGAATATTGTAAGTATATCTTCAGAGTTCCTTTCAAGTTAAAATAAGGATGTCTGTGATTTTTTCCCCCTAAGTCCAAAAGCTTGAATAATATTTAAATCTCAACTGCTTTAGGTTTAGGAAATATAACAAAGAATGATTTTGTTCTCCACTGAAAAATATACCTGTTCTATTGGGGTAAGAATACTTTATGCTCTGATAATATGTTTCTTTTGAAAAACAATCTATTTCACTTGTTTTAGTTGTACAGTAACATCTAGAGAATGTTTACATCAGTATAATCATTAATAATATTACATGTTTGCTGTATATATATATATATATAGAGAGAGAGAGAGAGAGAGAGAGAGACAGTGAAGAAGCATGTGATTGAAGAGCTGTTAAGTGGAATTTAGTGTGACATTTTTTACCATATTTTTTGATAAAATCAAAATATTCTTTACAAAATGAAAGAGAAATTAAAAATACTATCACACCTTAGAATATTTTTTTCCAACTCTATGGGGACTACACCTGAGTGGGTGGGAGGGAGGAAATGTTGTTTAAAAATGAACAATGATGTAAAAAATAAAAAATTAATATAAATAATCATTAAAAAAAAGAATTTTTTTTCCAATTTAGTCTAGTGTCTGCTCAATGAGTTGTAGGTTCAAAGCTCTACCGGTGTATACATGCACACCAGAAGATAGTACAGTCTTAGAATGTGTTTAAATTTTCTCTATATATAATCATAAAAATACATTCTATTGTAGGTAGAATTTGGAAAGATGGTTTCATTATGTATTTTGAATTCCTCTTTTTATTTTTTTATGTGGGTTGCAGCCAGTTTTCAACACTTTATTGGGACTTGGTGTGTTGATTTCAATGTTTTGTGCTATACACCTAGAAAAGGTGATGAAAGACGGAATTTAACTTGCTTAACATATGGAGTCCTGATAAATACACTCAGAAGTCACCTTAAGTTTGGACTCTTCAGGTATAATTATGATGCCGTTAATGTCCTTTCAGTTATATTATTAGGATTACAGTTGGCAGCTCCTTGAGATAGCGTTGGGTAATTTTTATTCATTATTTAGTTAGAATCTTTGTGAATTGTTTTTATATCCTGCTAACCAGTAATGGCTAATTAATGAACACAATTTTCAGTAAACTAGAGATTATTTGCAGTTCTTTATAAGTAGACTACATTTTGCTTCATTGAAAGTAACAGTATATAGCAGTTCTGTTATGATCAGAGGTAAGCCCTTTCTTTTTCCTGATAGAGATTATCTTTTGATGCATTTGTTTGCACTTTGAATGCATGGTTTGTTACATCTTGTTTGTTTACCAATGTGATTATTTAAATTTCAATATCTTTCCTATGAATTTGTCAAAGTGAGTGCAAAATCAAAAAACTATTAAAAATGCAAAAGATAAATTTATTACAAAGGCCAAAATGTGAAATTCCCACATCAAAATAATAGCTTTGATTTTCTTAGATTTTAAAAATTATTTTTACTGACTTGTGGTTTTTTTACTATTAGTGACTGAACTTGAAAACTCATGAGATTTTTTTTTTTTTAAAGATTTATTTTATTTAGTTATACAAGCACTGGGTACAGTCAGAAGCGCAGGAGGGTGAGAGAATCCCCCAGAGCCAGAGGGGAGAGCAGAGCAGGCAGACTGATGAAGTACACTGCTGAGGGGAGCAGTGGGCGGCAGGGGAGGTCTGCGCACCAAGTGGAACCCTCACCCGGTGGCCGGGGATCGAACCTGTGCTGCAGAGGCTGTGGGTAGCTTCGCAACCCAGCTGCGCCTTTGGGGAGGCCCTCATGAAATTTTAAAAAATTTTTAAATGTATGATGTTTTGTGGGAACTTTCATTAGATTCAGGACTTCAGACAGTGATTTTCTTAGGGAAATGGCGTGAAAAGAGAATCCTTAACCCTTTACCAGCTTAAGGGAAATGGATTCTGTAGTAAGCCGGATGAAGATAGAGTAAAATAAAAATAGTTTACAGAAGTTGTCTTTCACACAACCACAGTTCTGACCATTTTGCTTTATGATACAAATCTAAGTATTTTAATATAACAGGGTTATTTCATAATATGACCTCAACTTAATGTTGTTTTTTTTTTAATTGTGGTAAAACACAATTAAAAATTTAAGTGTATTGGGCAATATTGTAAACTGTATACACATTTGTACAGCAGATCTGTAAAATGTTTTTCATATTGAACGAGTGATGAAACTATACCTGTTATGCAACAGCATCTCATTTCTCCCCTGGCAACCACCATTCTACTTTCTGATGCTAGGAGTTTGATCGCTTTAGATACCACATGTAAATGAAATCATACAGTACTTCCCCTCCTATGATTGGCTTATTTCACTTAAAGTGTTCTCAAGATTTATTTCACACCCTAACTTATGATAGAATTTCCTTCTTCTTTAAAGCTGAATAATATTTCAGTGTCTATGTCTTTGTGTGTGTGTGAATGTAAATATATATGTATATGCACACACATACATATCACATTTTTTTTATTAGTCAGGAGACATTTTGGTGGTTCCACCTATTGGCTATTGTAAATAATGCTGCAATGAATGAAGGAGTGCAAATATCTCTTTAAAATCCTATTTTCATTTCTCTTGGATAAAAGCCCAGAGGTGGGATTTATTGGATCACAAGGTTCTGTTTTTAATTATTTGAGGTATGTTTATACTGTTTTTCTCTGCAACTGCGTGGCTTTACATTTCCAATGACAGTGTACAAGAATTCATCACTTGTTATTTTCTGGAAGGTTTTTGCTTTTTGTTTTCAAATATGGTCATCCTAACAAGTATGTGGTGATATTTTACTGTGGTTGTTTTTTTTGCTGCTGCTGATTAATGATGTTAACCACCTTTTTATATACCTGTTGGCCATTTATATGTTAGTTACCTTTAGGAAATGTCTATTTTTGTCCTTAATCACTTTTTACTTGGGTTGTTTGGGATTTTTATGTTATCTTTTGGATAATAACCCCTTATCAGTTTAATGGTTTATAAATACTTTTTCCTAATTCATAAGTTGCCTTTTCACTTGGTACTGTTTTCTTTACTGTACAGAAGCTTTTAAATTTGAAAAAGTTTTGCTTGTCTTTTTTTTTCCTTGCCTGTGCTTTTTCATATACAGGAAGTGCTTGTCAAGGTGTAAAGAAGCTTTTCCCCTGCTTTCTTTTAGGAGTTTTATAGTTTCAGGTTTTAATGTATAAGTCTTTAACTTATTTTCAGTTGATTTTGTGTAGTGTAAGATAAAGATACGATTTTGTCATCTGCACACAGAAATCGTTTTCTTGACACCATTTGTTAAACCCCCAAATTACCTTTTCCTCTAAATATAATGACCATACTAGGCTACTTTCTTACCATGCACAGTTTATACCTTTATAGTTCAGTTGTCTTTTCCTAGAACACCTTTTGGTGCTTAAAAGCATTTTCTATTTAACTTTTTTTTTTTTTAAATAGAGGCATGTTTTATTTATTTATTTATTTGTTTGTTTGTTTTTTGTTTGTTTTGTTTATACATGCACTGGGTACAGTCAGAAGCTCTGGAGGGTGAGAGAATTCACCAGAGCCAGAGCGGGGAGCAGCGGGCGGCAGGAGAGGTCTGCGCGCCATGTGGGACTCTCCTCCGGTGGCCGGGGAGCAGCCGGGGATTTAACTTTTAAGACCCAAATATCTATTCTGATATCTTTCCTGAATTACTTCTGTTCCTTTCTGCTCAGTCCTGAAGCACATCATTCTTGTTGCTATTAAATATTAAAGATCTCATTGCATTGTCTCACAGTATTTGCTTAGCTGTCTCAGACTATGAGCTTCCCAAAATCAAGGACCATAGTACATTATCTAATTCTAAATTATCCTTAGAGGATTATTGAATGACTAGAGCAAGACAAGAGGATTAAGATTAACTTGGGTGTGGCAGCCTGGATGATTGGCAATGCAGAGACTGGCCAGAAACCAAAACTAGAAATCAAAAGATATGACAGAAAAGTCTGAAAAAGGTGCATATGCTACAAACACTATGAGTTACTGATATTAAGAAGATACTTTCACATTTCATTGAGAAGCAGAAACCAGTATCAAGCATTATCCTCTGCTGGTGTCTGGAATTACACTGCTACAGTAAGGTTTGTTTTTTGTTTGTTTTTTTTTTTTTTACATATGGAAAGGATAGAAAAACAGTTTCTCTTTTCTCTGGAACTGGGGCATTTTGAGCAAGTAAGTATCTTTTTAACAGACTAGATAGCATGTAAATTCATTTTTACCTAAAAGTTAAAAAGAAAGTGTAACATTTTTGCATCTTATTTTTGGTATTTGAAATATTATTTCTTTCCTCCTAAATACCATAATTGAAATTTGGTTAATATTTACTTGATATGGAGCCTGCCTGGTGGCGCAAGGTGTTAAGACACAACCTATGAAGCAATCCACAGCCTCTGCAGAACGAGTTCGATCCCTGGCCAGCCAGGAAGCAACCCACATGGCGCAGCAGCCCTCTCCTGACTTGCCCGCTGCTCCCCTCAACAGTGTACTTCAGTCAGTCTGCCTGTTCTGTTCCCCACTCTGTCTCTGGTGAATCCTCTCACACCAACCCCGCCCCCACTCCAGCACCTCTGGCCTGTACGCCCTAGCACCTCTGCCCTCTTCTTGTATACATAAATAAATAAATCTTTAAAAAAAAAAATACTCGCATAAATAAATAAATCTTTAAAAAAAAATACTCGATATGCAGGCTTTCCCATATAAAAGTAACTCTCAGGTTATAATTACTTTTGAGCAGTTAGACTTTCCTATAAAAACTAACTTTAAATCTACAAATTTTTTTTTAATATTTTTTTTAATTTATTTATACAAGCACTGGGGGTACAGTCAGAAGCAC